GTCAAGGTTATCCTACAGATGAAAATTTTCTATTTTCAATAGATCAGAATGAGAGTGAGTCAAAAATGCTTACTATGCAGAATATGAACTTCTTTTTACCAGTACACATTTTGGGAAAAATTTAATTCTTTTGAGGCATATGTTTTTAGGTGTTCCTCCACAATGCATTTTCCAAAATTCAAATTCTCTCATCCTTAAGTGTAATTGAAAAAGTTCAAATGTGCATTCTTAAAAGAATGGACTCTAGTCCCTTTGAATATTTTCCATTTGAATCTAATTTAGGTATTAATTATAAGACATAGTTGTCAAAAGAAAAAATCATTTTTCAGGTTTGCGTTAAATATATCAATTTCTAAATTTTGGTAGTCGGTAAGTTAGTCACAAATAGTATGGAAATTAACATTTCTATAAACAATTATGTTCCATTATTTAATATGTAAAACTTTTGTTTGAAAGTCTGTACAGAAAGATATCTTTAAAATTGATTTTTCTGATGCTCCCAGAAAAATGTATCTTAATTGAGTTTTTTTTGAGACCTTCATAGTAATTACTCACTCTCTCTCTTACTTCATAAGGAATATTGTATTATGCCTGTGAAGCATTGCAAAGGATTCCTAGTGTGTTCTTTGCCAACAGCCATCAAAAATGAATGAGGACAAAGAGTCATCTAAGGAACAGAAATTTTCTCACTCAAAGAAACAAAAGGATAAGGGAAACCCAACTCATAAAAAGAGAGGTAAATATTTTTTTATGTCATTTCTTGTTTTCAGAAAATATGTCAGATGATAAATAAATCAACAATTGTATTATATGTGTGCTTATTTATATATTGACAACCATACTTAAATGTAATATTCAGTGAGATTTGTGATCAGGGGAAAATAGTGATAACAATCTGAAACTTCAGAAAATTTCATTTTGCTCTAATTCTGATGTCCCTGTCATGCTCATTAAGTATTCTACTCTTTGATTTTGTACAGAATTTTCATGGCATATTGCTTCAATAATCCTGGGAATAATATCTTTTTTTCTCTTGCTGGCAACCAGAATCTTTGTGTATATGTGTGAGTATCAGGTAAACATATTTATTATGAAAGCAATAAGCCAGGATTAAAAATGAGACAGTATATTAGTGCTTTGCTAATGAAAACTATGTAATGTTGCTATAAACCAATGCTATTTCAAGAAATGCTTTAAACTGTAACTGCTAAACCACTTCTGAAGACTATAATAACCACTTTGCAGACTATAAAGTTTTATAGAAATGCTTGAAGTCACGATGATGTTGACAATGATCAGATGATTTTTTTTACCTACTATTACATTTGTAAAATCCACAAAATAATATAAAACTTTGATTAGAGAAAATTATTCCAGGTAGAAAACAACAAGAAGATAGAATATATCTATGTGTTAGGGAAATTTCAACTCCTATATCAATAGAAGTAGGAACAGAAATGGGCTGAAGCAGGTGGGTAAATTCATGAAGCCATTTTATGCCATATTAAAAAATTTAGTTTTATTCTTTTTAAAAGATTTTTTATTTATTTATACAAGAGCTGGGTACATCCCAGAAGCGTGGGAGGGTGACAGGATTCACCAGAGAAAGAGAGGGGAACATAACAGGCAGACTGACTGAAATACACTCCTGAGGGGAGCAGTGGATGCAACAGTGGATGCGCCATGTGTGTATCTCCCTGGCTGGCCAGGAATCGAACCCACACTGCAGAGGCTGTGGACAGCTTCACAGCGCTATGCTCAACCCGCTGCACCACTGGGAGGCCCTAGTTCTATTCATAAAGCAAAGGAAATTGTTGCAAGAATTTAAGTGGGAGAACCTCATGTTTCTTGAAAGAGAGGGAATTTAGAATGGTTGGTGGTCTTGGTAGACTAAAAAGTGAACATGTGGCAATTGTTTCAAGAATCAGCATTAATGTCAATGCTATATGAATTATTCATGAAGGGATGATGGAGAGCAGGGAACAGATACCCGAAAACACCTCATGTAGAATTTGACAAATACACATTTGATGGAATGGCTGACAGACAAGAGGAAAGTAATACCACTTGGTATCTATCTCTCTATCAGTCCTGGATCCATCTTTCATCTATATGAATTATTGAAGTCAGATTGCAATGTTGAAATTTATTCAAATATTAGGAAGCAGATGAAGTGATTATAAATAATAAATATTTATTACAAATTATAGACATCTTTTTTATTCTAACATTTTGGTTTGTATTTCACTTTTTTAATATACATATACATTCCATTCTTGATTTTGGTAGAGTGTTATTTCTTTCAGGGATATTAAGCTTTAGTTTTGTACGAGTAGCTGTAGGAGTTCTTTGCCCATGTATTTCAATGAATCCATCCTAAATTTATATTCCAGAATATGAACTTATGTCATGACATACGTATTTACATATATGCTGTATCCACATATATGTAAGTACATACTCAATATAGGTCTATATATTACACTTACTTATATACTCATATATTTATATAAATATATAAATTTATATATAAAGTCAAATAAATCTTGTTTAACTTTACTTTAACTTCAAAACCAAATACTGAATGGAGCCACAAAAGTCGAAATTGTTATTTGAAAAGAACACGTGCCATAAAAACTATTAATAATGTCCTCGTTCCAGTTTATGTTTTCTGCTTATAAATGTTGAATACTGTTTAACATACTGTTAAAAATATTACATTGCATATTCCTGTATATGATTTCTGAATCATATACAGTGTTATAATCCAATGGCAAACTAATAAAAATATTATTAAGAATAACAAAAGTAATAATAAATATGTTTTGCCAATTATACAATTATTTTAAGAATCAATTTTATTTTTTGGCTCTTCAAAATATTGTAACTTTACATTTTTACTGATTGTCTTTTAGTTATTATCATTTACTATATTATCTAGAATTAAAGTACATGATGAAAATGAAATGATTTTTTTTAAAATAATTCATGATCTTAATTTTCTAATATGGATTGAAGTGTTACAGAGCTCTTTTGCATGCAAAATACAAGACCTAGAGGACACAAAGGAAGAAATGCTACGGCATTAGAAATTGAGGCTCTTTCAACTTTACAACCTTGCACAAGTATGTACTACATTCATCCACTGAGAGCCACCATCATTTTTTTTTTAATGGCATTACCCATTCTGTTCCATTTTTAAAACTTAACATTGAAATCTTTCAAGACCTTTAATTTTACTCAAGTTTTCTTATCAAATCCATTTCATTTTTATAGTTAATTGAATGCTTGACCTTTGCAAAATCTTTTATTGTCATATTGCTTTAATTATTTGAGAATATTCTGCTTGTGGATAAATTTCGCTCATATTAGAGCTCTTGGAATTACTACTATTCGCTTGGATAGATTCCTCCCTACATAATTCCTCCAACTCACAGAAGATTATTAGTACTTTACTTTTTTTCACAATCATAGCAACAGCCTTGGGTCTGTCAGAGATCATCTTCAGCTCTGTAATATAAATATCTACAGATTTGGAAAAAGAGCTGTTCTTAACCCATAGACATTATGATGAAGGGAAGTTACCTATTCTCTGATGATTCAGTCTGAAGTAAGCAATGAAATACACATAATGTATATAGGTCTCTAAATGGTCTTGGGTTGAGTATTATGCTTATTTTTGTTTGCAAGATATACAAAATTCATTAAGTTAAACATCAATTATTGAAATATACATTATTTTGAGGTGTTGTTCAAGATAAACAAATTTCATCTGATACATGTCATGGAAATTGGTCCTGCTGTGGAAGCAATTGCTACTACTTTCAAAAGAAGAGAAAAGTTGGGATGAGAGTAAGGAGTCATGTGAAGCCCTAGGTTCTCTTCTCAGTAAGATTGATGATGAAGATGAACAGGTATGCTGGCTTTATTAAACCTGAGTAAGTCTTTCACAATTAAAACTGATGTCTGAAGTTAGGATAATTGTTTTTTTTTTTTAAAGATTTATTCATTTATTTATTCATTTATTTATTTATTTATTTATACAAGCACTGGGTACAGTCAGAAGCGCGGGAGGGTGAGAGAATTCACCAGAGCCAGAGCGGGGAGCAGAGCAGGCAGAAGGACCAAGGTACACTAATGAGGGGAGCAGCGGGCGGCAGGAGAGGTCTGCGCGCCATGTGGGACCCTCCTCCGGTGGCCGGGAGCAGCCGGGGATCGAAACGGCGCTGCAGAGGCTGCGGGCAGCTTCGCAACCCAGCGCTCAACCGCTGCGCCACCGGGGAGGCCCTAATTGTTTAGTTTTTCCTTCAATATTATTCAGCAATTTGATGCAAATCATTGGTACAGACTGGTGCTGATTTACCTGCAGAGGAAGAGACACTGGCAAGAGAAGCTGTATGAACGTTCTCTGTAGATAAATTTATGATTACTTATGAGTAATATCAGTAATTCTATTTTATCACAGAGATACATCGAACAGAGAATCCAATATAATTACTGGGTTGGATTAAGAACAAAAGGAATTGCACACCCCTGGTTGTGGCTGGATGGTGCTCGTCTTTCTCATCGGCTGTAAGTTTTCATTCATTGTTTTTCCCTCCCCAGCCCTTTCATAGTAATGCACTCATAGATTATAGCTTGGGGAAAAGAAATGTTTTTTGAGACTTATGACATATCTTTAATAATCTCTGTAGCCTAGATCTAAACTTTAAAATCCATATTCACTAATGTCATTGCTCAGTTCAAAAATGTTAATGCTTTGGTCTGGAAGACAATAAGCTCAGTGGGAAACTTTAAATCCCATTTTAAACCCAAATGAGCACCTTGTATGTTCAAAGTCAGGCTAGCATTGGAGACATGTGCTCTATGCATTTTAACGTGTCTTAGGAAACTGGAATTTTTTATATCTAGTTGTCATGTGTTATACAATGAATTTATCAGATTTTGCTACTTCCTCAAGATTTCAAATGTATCAGGAGAATTTTTCAATTGTACATGCCTAATCCATGGGCGTATCCTATTCTATGCCAACCTTTGTAATTCTTCTCTATCTCTTATTATCATTGCAACATTGCCAATGTTTCCATTCATTTTTGAAATAATTACACATCATAAATCTACAGCTGTATTTCTGTGACAGGATTTTTATGTCTAGAGAAATAATTGTGCCATTTTAAATTTGTACTTAGCCGTTATAGCCTAAAGCATGGCTTTCTTCAACAAACATGTTTTCTGCCACAGGAAATTTGAGCAGACCACAGCTGATGCAAAATGTGGATTCATCATGTCAACAAATATTGCTCCTGCTGCTTGCAATAAACTATTTCCTTACATTTGTGAAAAGAATCTTGATAATGAGAAAAAATTGCTATAATCAAAGTCAATATTTTCATTTCCTAGTAACTTTTAGAAAAAAAAAGAATTAATCCAAATTAGTAAATTATGCCAAATTTTGAAGGACATAATCTTTTAAACATCCATAACAAAGGGAAAAAAAGACAAGAAATTTTATACATAGTTAAATTGTAAATACCTCGGTGCCTCCCTGGTGGCCTAGAGGTTAAGTCTCAACGCTATCACCCCTATGGCCAGAGTTTGGTCCCTAGCCAGGGAGCTAACCCAATATGGCACTGCAGACCTCTGCTGTCTCACTTGCTGCTTCCCTCAGCAGTGTATTTCAGTAGCTCTGCCTGTTCTGCTCCCCACTCTGACCCTGATGAATCCTCTCACCCCCAGTTCTTCTATGCAAAAAAATAGGTACTGACTCACTTTTTATAAACAATTACGATTATTACAAGTGGATGCACCAACATTTTATTAGCCATTTTCATTTCAACAGTTTTTTAGGTTTCTCCCAGTATGTTGTAATTATCAACAATCACTGCAATGAATAGCACTCAATAAAGTATCATCTGCTTTAGATCATATCTATAAGGTAAATCTCTAGCAATTCTATAAATGTGTCAAACATATGTATATTTAAATTTTGATACCTATTTAATACTCACCCTCCTGTAGGCTTCACAAGGCTCACTCCACAGTGTGTTCCCAACCTGTTTGACTTGGGCAATAAAATCTTCACCAATAAAAAAGGGCATCTTGTGTCATTCAGATTTATAATTCCCAGTTATTTGTAAGTTGGAGCATTTCATTATGGCATTTATTTTATGTAACTTATATGTTCATGTCTACAGATTACTATCACAATTTTTTTAGCAAAAGTAACAAAACACAAATAAATTTCACTCTATAAATTTCCATTTATAAAGTTCAAACTTTCTGTTGCTAGAAATTTTCAATATGCTATTTTCATTTCCTATATTCCATTCATTTTAGATAATTGTATTAATACTTTATAATTCTACAACTATTTGTCTGTCACAATAATTTTATGGCCATTTAAATAATGATACCCACATATTTAAATTTGTGACTGTCAGATTTAGCCTAAGGTATAACTTTCTATGACAAATATGTTTTCTGAGGCAAGAAATTTCAGCCTACCACACCTGATGAAAAATGGATACATCACGTTAAACAAATATTACTACTTGTGGGTCTGCTAGATTTAAGCGGCTTGTTAAGGCCACCATTCTGTTACCTACAGGTCTGCATTCCTATACAAGGTCAGAACCACTCAATCAGTTATAGGAGCCAACGCTTACAAAATTTCTTACAAATCAACCAAGAGCAGAAAGCTGGATCACTCTGGGAAGGGTATGCGTCGCAAGGTATGACCAGGAACTCCCGGGGGCCAAAGACCACTGTATGAAAAGGGACCCCAGAAGCTGAACAGTGGAACGCCTTGTTGATAAGATTACAACCATGGCCAGGGCCTGGGGCATGGTTTCAATTACAACACTTGGTCATCAAGTAGATAAGAATTATCTGGTCAGTAGACTCATGTCCCCCCAAGCTTAGATTTCAAAAATACATTTTTTAGTTTCTCCCATCTTTTTCTCTTTGTCCTCCTACTCCATGAAACTGACGCTGTATGATTGTTCTAGCAATGGAAAAGGCCAGGATCTTGCTTGTTCAGCAGCATCCTGCATTATGCAGCCTGCTCCACGACTCCTGTTTTTCAGTGTGGTGTTGCCGATGCAACAACTACTGCTTCTTATGTTGGATTGTATCCTTAAATGTCTGAAAAGTTTACCCATGTTGATAATTAAAAGAATTGCTATAGGACCTCCCCGGTGGCGCAGCGGTTGAGCGCTGGGTTGCGAAGCTGCCTGCAGCCTCTGCAGCGCTGGTTCGATCCCCGGCTGCACCTCGACCACCGGAGGAGGGTCCCACATAGCGCGCAGACCTCACCTGCAGCCCGCTGCTCCCCTCAGGAGTGTACCTCGGTTCTTCTGCCTGCTCTGCTCCCCGCTCTGGCTCTGGTGAATTCTCTCACCCTCCTGCGCTTCTGACTGTACCCAGTGCTTGTATAAATAAATAAATAAATCTTTAAAAAAATTAAAAAAAAAATTGCTATACTCAAAGTCAAAATTTTTACTCTTTAGTAACTGTTAGTAAAGAAACATGTAATGTCATTAAAATTAGTCATCTGTGCATGATTTAGGAAGGATCTCTCTGAAACATCCCTAAGCAGGATAATGAAGAAATGCTGTATATCTGCTAAAATTGTAAGTTCCTAAAGTAAGTTTATTTTGTTGAAATTTTGAGTACCAATAAATCAGAGAATGTGAAACAAATCATTTGAGTGGAGATAAAGATATTTTTATTAATCATTTAATTAAATGTATTTAATCAGGTAATTGCTACATTCACATCATTCAAAATATAGGGGTATGAAATGATGAACAAGTTATCTTTATCCATTTCACCTTTATTCACCTTGTCCCTTTCTCAGAGGCAAAGATGTAACCAGTTTGCTAGATATTATTCCAGAGATAATTTAGGAAAGTATGACTGTAGACCTGCTGTCTGTTAAACTCATGTTTCTTAACCATAACACTTCTAGTCACAGCTTCTTTATATTGTCTCTTAAAAAGATGTCTCACACATTGTTTCCATATCAGTACAATTAGTGAAAAAATATTTTCTCCCA